GGGGGGGGAGCCATGAAGTTTCATAAGTATGCGGTAGCGTATCGACGACATCCTATAAGTACTGCAACTGTCTGTGTGTGAATTACCCTTTTCTGCTATTGTCTTTGAGGTTGGATCGACGACGGATTTCGAAACCTCAGGCGATCAAATCTGCTTCTTCTCTGACCCTAAACTTACATTAGCCTTAACGCTGGCTATAATTTCACGGGGATTTAGTGCAAAGCCACTGGCACTACATGACGCTCCTGTTCTGTGGGGGAAGAGGGGATGGGGGGAGGAAACATAAGCAATCCTCACCTTTCATCCCGCTTGTGAAATCCGTCGTTTGTCGCGGATGCAGTACAGTAGCTCTAGGACGTTCATTCGCGGCAGCCACCAAAACGTTTAGTGTACTTTTGGGTGATTTGTGCACCAAGTGCACCCCACCCACCTCGTCACACTGAAGCTCACGCAAAGCTGTAGGGTCTTTTCAAAATAGAGGCCCACTGGTGCACCTTTTAATCACAGCTAAGTCCGTCTCCGGCAACCCTAAAGAAGAACTTCGACCTGCTAACACACATTGACGAGTATTTATGCGAATTTCAAGTAGTCTGATACAGACAGCGCAGCGCACTGGAAACCCGTTCCTGCTTTAATTGAAGTTTTTTTTCCATCAGAGTGCGCCATCCACAGGAAGTCCACAGCAGGTTAGACAAAAAACCAGCATGCTGCGATTTTTGAAAAAAAAAGCGAACCCCTTTTTATTTTTGTCGCAATTGCACCATTGTGTGTAAGTGCGTTATTGTTCTGTTTCGCTCGCTTCGTCAAATGTTGTACTCTTTTACACGACCAACCATCCCAGACTTGCTAATTTGTCCTGAAAAAATGTGTGCACTCGCTTTTCTGTCGGTTACCTACCATCTATCCTTTCTTGCCAGTTTCGCGCATAATTTTGTAGCCGGGAGGCAAAGAACATAAAAGTAAAGTAAACACGAGATATCGAAGTCCATTTGTCGCAGCCTTTTGCCCCCGAGTTATTTTGACGCATTAGAACTTTCTCGTAAATAAGCGTCTGAACAGTTGGGGGATTCTTGCTCGTAAATTCTGGTGTCCTCTCTCCCCCCCGTCCCCAGTGAGTCGGGTGTGTCCTCTTCCAGTTCCGCGAATCTGACATGAATAACAACTCGCGTCAGCTCATCCTGTCTGTGTTGTCTCTCGGGTCTGGTAATCCGGACCAATTCCTCAAGAAGAATCTTTGAGCTACAAACATATACTGACTGGTATTTATGCGAATTTTAAGTGGTCTGATGCAAGCGGCGCAGCGCACTGTTTACGTCTCTGATGATGAATCCGCGACGGATCTCGAAACATCGGGCGAATACAAGTTTTGTCCCAGCGATCGAGTCGTCGTCTTCGCAGTTACTTCCTGGGACTCGCATGTTCGCTTGTATTTGCATTCCCTGCTTTCATTGGCGTTT